CATTTTCCCCTTGTGTTGTCACATGGCCTGGTCTCAACTTAGACTGAAACCAGGCGGCAGACAGCAGTGCAGGCAGAGAGCGCCAGGCTTGAGAAGTAGAGGCGTGGCTCCTAGTAGTAGCAGTGGTGCAGAGGAGGATAAGGTATCTTACCTAAAATGGGGAGGTAGGGGAGCCTTCCTTTGTGACTAGAGGATCTGTGGTCACAAGAGGATGGGGCACACTGCATTTGCTTTTTTTTTTTCTTTCTCTTTCTGTCTGCCTACCAGTTGGCCCCCACTGCAGGAACAGTTGTAGACAGTGGCAAAATGGGAGGTAAATAAAGCTCCAGCTTTCTGGGCAGACTGCCAAAAGGGAGAGCCCCAGGGAACCAGCAAGTACTAGGGAGATCAGGGAGAGATGGGAACTTGGGAAAGGGACCTCATAAAGTTATTCATGTCTTAAGAGACATGAATGATAGTATCTCTGTAATGCTCAGAACGGAGCTTGAATAAGAGTAAACCTAATAAACAGCTAGTTAATAAATCAATTATTTTCCTTAGTGTTGTATAGGAAACACAGATTATCTTCCTTTCCTTGGTTTAGATTGTTAGGAGTCATGGGGATTAAAAGTATTGGCCCATCTGCAGCAACCATATGCCAGGCCACACTCATTTAATCTTAGAACATTGCACTTGGAAGGGATTTTGGAGGTCAGATGTTCTAAAAAGTAAAGTAGCAGCCCTCCCTGCAGTTCCATTTAGAGATCATCAGTCATCTGAGGCTGTCAGTGCACTTACAGTGAGAGTTGGCCACTTCTGGAGGGTCATGTGATTGTCTAACAATCATGTATACATAATTTGTCTTTTTTTTCTAGCCTCTGTAAAATGTAAAAAATTAGGTTGAATCCTTTTTTCACACTGTAGTTCTTAGTCATTCAGAATATTTGGATAGACTTAATTCTATTCTGGCGATTCTCAAAGTGTGGCCCCAGGATCTTGCTTAACTGACAAATTTTTCTCAGGACGCCTACTTCTCTCTTCCCCTTCTTTTAATCCATGAAGATATACCCTAAATTTTTTGTGTGTGCCTGTGTGCATTTTTCTGGAATGAGGTTTGATAACCTGAAGAACATTTAAGAATCACTGCTTTAGACATGCTCTCAACTACAATTTGTCCTGCATACATTTGTATCTCAAAGGAACAGAAAATGTTTTTTAATTTTCTCATAATGGTAGAAAGTGATTGAAGACAAAGTTTAGGAATTTCACAGAAAGAGGAAAATCTGAGAGTTAAAGCAAAGAGGTAGAGTTCACCTATATTCGCTGAGCAAACCTCCTGATTTCTGTGGTAAGTCTTCCATCTAGTCTGCTTAGGGAATTATTTCTGACGTAATAAGAAATGTTAAGCAGAAGGTAGGATTCAGTGAAGCAGTCTTTTTTTAAGAACATCTATGCTGCAGATGAGGAATAACTATTTTGTCCTGCAGTGGATAATTATCTTAGCTAAAGATAGATAGTATTGTGACTATTATATATTCAAGTGCATTCATTATACACACACAAACATATATGGTGCTTAACATAGTTCACTTACCCTTCAAGGTCAACCCAGTCCTGTTTTATTGTTTTAAGCTGCTCTATCAAGTCTCATGCTCTGCTGTTGAGAATAGAACAGGTATTGTTTCCTCATAATGGTCATCCTTGACTTCCTTCGTAAGACCACAAAATGCAATTGCGTGGGAAAACACCACTGGAAGTGTGGAGTAACTGATGTCGCTTACATGAGTTATCTCTAGATTGTTACCAGCCCAAATAAATAAATTTCTCATGCATGCATACATAGCTATCTTGTCATCAATAGCCAATTAAATAACCCCAGTTATGCCCATAAAATATATAACTTTTTAATAATTTTGCAAAATAACTAAAAGAAAAAATAAAATATTTAATTCAGTAGAGACATAGTACACAGTAAAGATAGAGGTGATAAAATTTGGATAAAAGTATAAACTTTTAAAACTTAATGAAATTGAAATCATTCTACTGAAATCATTCTACTGATGAACGTTACAAGGGAAGTATTTGTTTTTCATTTCTAAAGCTATGTCATTATTAGCTTACTATAGGAAGCAGAAATTATGTAGTAGTTACAAAAATCTGGTAAGTTTAGTCTATCTATACTAATAAAGAGCTAATATGCTAATGGTCGATATGCTGTAACAGGTAACGACCAGGTCATTAGCATATTAGCTGGCGCGTTGCTCCGGAGAGGGGGCAGAAACGGGGAGGCGCCCGGAGGAGGCGGGACCATCCCGTGTGGGGGAAGGCAGGGGTGAGAGCTCATAGCGCCCCCCCTCACCAGTCCTTTGCCACCCACAGCTTGCACTCTGAGTGCCCGATGCAGCCCACCTGCCAGGGGAAGGAACACAGCACAGCAGGCGAGAGGCTTCCACACTCTCCTCTGGTGCCATAACGGGATGGAGCCACTGTGTTGCTCCGGAGAAGGGGAGGACGCAAGGAGGTGCCCAGAGAAGGCGGGACCAGCCCTAGGCGACTCGAGGGACTGAGGGCGGGGCTTGAAGCGGCCAGAGAAGGCCAGAGGGTTTGGGGGCTGGGCCAGGTGCTCTGGAGCTCTGCGTGGACAGGTTCGGGTGTCAAGGCAGGGTGGCATGCGCGCAATTTCAAATTGTGTGCTGGGCTCCTAGTATAGTATAACAAACTATTTAAAAAGTTATGCTGCACATCTTGCTTTGTGTCTATTGCTATCCTAAATTTAGGGTAGATCTTTAACAAAGGGTAAGAGAACTTACTAGATACTAGAGGCCTGGTGCATGAAATTCATGCACACAGGACGGGGGGAGGTCCCTCAGCCTGGCTTGCACCCTCTTGCAGTTTGGAGCCCTCGGAAGGTGTCCAACTGATGGCTTAGGCCTGCTCCCCGCGGGGAGCTCACTGACCACCAGGGGGCAGCTCCTGCGTTGAGCATCTGCCCCCTGCTGGTCAGTGTGTATCATAGTGACCTGTCGTTCCACTGTTCAGTCGATTTGCATATTAGCCTTTTATTATATAGGATGTGGTGACTGCTTCGGTTGATATAGAAGGAAGGTCAGTTTGAGGTAAGGTGGAGAATTAAGGGGAAATGAAAGGAGACAGTGACACATGTTGATACCTTTGGCATTTTGTTTTGTTTTCTAACATAACAAATATAAGGTGCCTTGTCTGCCAGTCTGTGAGGTCCGTGGACTTGGTAAGGTGAACTGAGCATTGCTTGATATTTTTCTTCCCAGATTAGCATCAAAGTGAAAATTCCTCTAGTAATGTCCACACCCTCTTATTTAGGGTTTGGTACTGCATCTTGCCCAATAGAGTGTTGGGTAAATGTTGTCTGATGAGGATGAGAATATATTTTTTTCCCCGAGGAATTATCTTTATGGTTATGTGACACATTTCTCAGGGTCATTGGAAAATAGAAATCTTGTTTGAACTTGAACTCTTACTGTGTGGTTTTTGCTGGTTACTCTATTACAAGTTTTATATGAATTTTTAAAAAATGGATTCATTTTGTAAAGTGCAAAATCCTCTAAATATTGAAATGTAATATGTGGGGAGCCAGCACGGCCATGGCATACTCAGCCCCAGGGCACCTTATGTGCCATGCCAGCTCAGCCTGGTTCAGTGACCCTGAGTGGGGGGGTGAAAGGATTGAGAAAAGACAGACAAGAGAATGAAAGCTGGGTCTCGGTGGGACGCTGCTCCCTGATGAAGAGACAGCGCCAGCGCCCACAAGCCCTGTCTTTATTTTATAGCAGATGCCACGAGGCAAAGTAGGGGCGTGATCATGTTGTTTACAGCATTCTCGTGAGTTTCAACTTCACTCAACTACATGCACCCAAACTCTATCACAAGGCACGTGGGGCTACGTGTTTGGACCATAGGTTCAAGCTTACAACCACAGCCATTGGCTATAATTGTGCTGGGAGGGCCTTGCCCTCCAGCTGGGACTTGCACGTGGCAGTGAGAGGACCCTGTCCTTTCATTAGTTCGAGGCTTGAACCTGGCCAAAACACTGTAGCCGCGCCCCACAGTAATATAACTGGTTTTAACACTCCGGTGTGGGGTGAATTTCCCGCCAAAATATAAGATGGCTCTGTCTTTTGGTTTTGTTCCATCCACCAAAAGGGTGGATTACAAACAAATATTTGGTAATACGCAGTTACAATCGGCCCGAGTTTACACGTTTCCCGCACTCCACCGCAAATCTATATGAACCGAGTTAAAGACGGCTCCCGCGGAGTACGCGCAATTCACGCGAGCCAACTTAACTCGTTTCCCCCACTCCAAGTGTTAACTGGGATATTTAAGAATAACATGTATTGAATTTGAGTAATAAACATAAGGACTTTCCGAAGGTGTGAGTTTCCCAAGGTTTAGGAGTTTATGAATAGATTTTATTCCCTGTATTTATTGACTTGGTGTATTTTTGACTAAATAGCAGGATAATTATTATTGCATAGAGTGTTAGCATAGCATCCTCAAAATGTCTCTGTGTGAGATTTGTGCTTGTCTGAATGTATGTAGTCAAGTCATTTTATTTTGAACTTGTGAAAGCATTAATTTCTAAACATTGTCTTTGTTTTCTTCAAAAGTAAATCAATAACCTCAAAAGAAAATATTACTTATTTCTTGAGGGTTAGGGGTTACAGATGTGTGGTGTATTCTGCCCCAGGATAAGTTTTGGGGAAATTACTTGGAAATCAAGGAATCTCAAGTGGAACTACTTCAAAACACTGCTGTAATATGCTCTGTAAGGTAATTAAGTCTTGACATATAAAGACATGTAAATGTAGCCTTCTAAAAGAAGAGTTATAGGCTTTTCTTTCACAGTAGGGACTCTTAATAGATAATTTACATTAGTTGAATATTTGAAAAATACTGTATAGAATAAGCAGTGATACAGTTACCAAAATTTGTATTGTTTTTTCACTTTCACATCATTAATGCTATATATATATTTTTTTAAGCTGGATATGTCAAGTGACCAGATAACTGCCAATCTGCAAGCTGTTGTCAATGAAGTTTGTAGGCACAGGCCGCTGAATTTGGGTGAGTGGGTAGCCGGGCTAGACTTTCCTATACCCCTGTGATACTTTAAAAATGTAAAATATTAAGAAGACAATTAAGTCATATGCAACTACAATAGCAACAGTATATCCAGGTATTAAATAAATAACATTTAATTCTTCAAAGGATTCTTAATTGCCTTATTAACAAGTGTAGTTGTTTAGAGAGGAGACCTCTTTAACATTAGTGGGAGTACTCTACATCCTGAAACCTTTGTAAATTTCCACATGATTTCTACCATTAAATGTAATAAAAAAATTTGAAGGAAAACGGTAACTGACTGCCTTAAACTTACAATGGCATTAAATAGAAAGTAAAATAAAACAGAAATGGCAATGAAGCCACACCATTCACTTTGTCACTGGCAGTAGCTCTCTAAATCTTATTTATTTCAGAAAAGAAACAAGGTTTTAATCATGTCGTGAGAACAGTGAAACGTGATCGAGGCTGTGTAGTAGACTAGGGCCCCTATCATTGCATACGTGCCACTCATTCCTTCCTGAGGCAAGTTTCACTCGCAGCTGTTTGAAGCCAAGCAAGTGTCTTTACCTTCAATGGACTATCCACTTATAATTCTATCATTATAGGAATCTGTCACTTTGAGTTTTATATCCAGGTGTCTAACTACATCACAGTATTTCACTATTTTTCACTTTCTTTGAGTGTTAAACACACTGGTGATAACTGCATCATTTGCTAAATCTGTTGTCCTGGATTTGACCATAGTGCTTATTAATGGTATGAATATGGGTTCCTGTATTCCCTGGATAACTTTGGTTTGAGTATAGGCTCCTCTGAGACTATAGGGAGTAGAATGAGAGATAGTAAATCTCTAAAAACAATGTAGTTACCTGGTTTTTGCCACTTTGAACAAAGTCCCTTAACATTAGTCATAGGAAAAGCCTTTTCATTTTTAAGGAATTTTATTAAATCTGTTGACTATTTTATTTATTTATTTATTTATTTATTTATTTATTTATTCATTTATAAAATATATTTTATTGATTTTTTTACAGAGAGGAAGTGAGAGGGATAGAGAGTTAGAAACATTGATGAGAGAAACATCGATCAGCTGCCTCCTGCACACCTCCTACTGGGGATGTGCCCACAATCAAGGTACATGTCCTTGACCGGAATCAAACCTGGGACCCTTCAGTTCGCAGGCCGACGCTCATCCACTGAACCAAATCGATTAAGGCTGTGTTGACTATTTTAAATAAATATTTAGACTATTTCCATCAAATGTAAATATTACCACCTGCTCTTTCATTGTTGACTTTGCAATAAAATAAATTCTAAGTGACCATATTCTGGAAGAGAATTATTCGTGATTATGTGTAGTTTAGAGGATAAATTAGAGTGTAGCTAGTTTGTCTTCTACTCTAGAAATAAAATGATTTTTTTTTCTTATACTTCAAAATATTAGTTCAGTAATGTCAGTACTTACAAGTTAGTCCATGAGTTCTGTAAGGTTTATTGTTTTATGTTTATATTTGCTTATTAGATATCTCTGGAATAAAATGAAAGTTGATTCTTCTCTTTGTTTCCAGGACCCTTTGTGGTACGAGCTTTCCTTCGTAGTTCGACAAGTGAAGGTTTGTTACTAAAGATGGAGCCATTGTTGCCTAAAGAAGTGGAAACCAAAGAAAGTAGCAAAGAAGCTGCCTGAAAGTGTTGTATTGTGAAATTATCCATAGTGGATGAAGAAGCAACAGAAAAATCATAAAACTATAATTTCTACATTTGGTGTCTTGTTATTCATTTATTTACTAGGGGCCCAGTGCACGAATTTGTGCACCTTGAAAGGAACTGTGGGTTGCAAAGCTGTGATAGGCATGGGGCGGGTCTCAGCTCATCCTCCTTGCCCCCAG